CACCCTCCCACTTGCTCTCATGAGGCTGGCAGGCAGGGCTGATCTTAATTTGACTCTGATCCTCACTGCTGGCAGGGGTCCTGAGAAGCAGAAAATAGCTGCACAGTGGTTCACTCTGGTCTGGATCCCACTTTGCCTGGCAAGGGTGAAAGAGCAGCCTTACACCACTGTTTCAGCAAGCAGGGAGGTATGCTGCATGGGATAGACTCCGGAGCAGAGAATGCCTGGCCCTGTGCATTCATGGAGGCAGAGTGCAGAAGCCTGCAGGTCACATCCCAGCAGGGAGAGGGGGAAGCTCTGTCCATAGGGACCTTGGAACCTCTTCTCTCTTCTATGGGAGGGCTACACTGAGGCATGCCAAGAGCCCCCATATTTGGCCAGTGACACAGCATTTTGGCTGCTTTAATTGGCTCTGACAGGACAAGGATTGCAGCTGGCACCTGCTGAGCCCTTGGGGCCAACCGAGGCAGCAGCTGCCATGGACAGCAGCACACATGATCCCTGGCCCAACATCACAAGACTACGGAGACATTTCTCATGTAGCCAGTAGCATCACGGTGTCTGCAAAAGCAGCCAAATTCATCCCCTCGGTGACTCCACAGAGAGTGCTGGGATACCAGCAAGCCACTTTGGATCTAAGCAGAACCTTTCCCTTCAGCATTTTGGGGTTCACTCCCCTTGCAAGGACTGGAAAGGTTTGTGTGTGAACAAGCCTTATGTCCCATAAACTCGAGAGCTGAAGCAAGCAGAGGCTGTGGCTTGGCATTTGTTTACTTGAGCTAACTCCAGCTCCAGGTCTGGAAATGCACACTAAGCCTCCAAGAGCCTGTTACTCTACATTTTTTCTCCTCGAGGCTACTGCCCACTGTGGGCTCCCTACAACAGCAAACAACTCCAGCTGCACCCCAGCCGATCACAGCCCTCCTGGAAAGAGTCCCTCCAAGTCCCCGCTGATGCCATTTCCACACGAGCTCGGCGTGAAGTCTCCGCTGCTCCGCTCCCCTCATCTGGAGCAGCAAAAGGCACTGTCCATCCTCCCCGATGCAGAGTAGCTCGGCCAGAAGCAACATGAATCCAAGGCAAACAAGAGAAGATCAGAGGCACATTTATTCCTCTTCCCTCCTGAGAGCTGCAGGCACTTTCACAGACCAACAATCACCTTCCATCTCCACAAAGCTCAGCCACCAGCTTGGAAGTTGAGGCACTGGGATCATCTCTTCCCTCTTCCCAGCACCCTTCTGGGCTACAGCACAGCAGCTGTCTAACAGCCCACTGTGAGACAGCCTCACAGTTTAGGGTAAGAGTGGCCCGTGCCATTTGGGGTGAGACAAGAGCACCCTGTGTGGTGCTGAATGAGCACTTGACCTAGGAGAAAACTTGCATTACAGTCCCCCACACTAACACTTTAGTCCACCTCTATTTTTCAGTTCCAAGTCCCTTTTTCCAGCCATCAGCCTTAAGAAGCAGAAGTCTGGTGTATATATGGCTGTCTATGCGGAACACTGATGGTGAGAAATAGGTTTCGGGCACCCTGGATTCCCCATCCCTGTCCCCCCTCCCTCCCTGTTCAAGCCCTGATCTGGGGCCTTTAGGATTCTTCCTTCCCTTTTCCTTCCTCAGACTGTTCTTCTTTTGCTGCTGGATGCTCCTGTTGTGTTATCTTCACCTCGTTGACTCTGGCCTTCACCTCCTTCCCTGTCCGGGGAGCCACAATGCTTAAGATGCCATCATGGGACAATGTGGCTCTCACCAGCAAGGGATCGACGTCCAGAGGGAGGATGTAGGTCCTGGTGAATTCACGAGAGATGAAGCCATGGCGGTCAGCCTTCTGTGGGTGCTGCCCCATCACCTCCAGCAGGTTGTCTACGGTGCGGACAGTGAGCTCATCCGGCAGGAAGTGACAGACATCCAGGAACACCTGGAATTTGTGCTCATTGAGGTTGATCTCAGAGGTGCCTCGTCGACATCCAGAGGGAGGATGTAGGTCCTGGTGAATTCACGAGAGATGAAGCCATGGCGGTCAGCCTTCTGTGGGTGCTGCCCCATCACCTCCAGCAGGTTGTCTACGGTGCGGACAGTGAGCTCATCCGGCAGGAAGTGACAGACATCCAGGAACACCTGGAATTTGTGCTCATTGAGGTTGATCTCAGAGGTGCCTCGATCCAGCTGCTTATTGATCCGAGGCCTGATGTAGTAGCCATGGTACAGGGCAGGGGCTAAAATCTCACATGGGGACACACCTGAAAATGAGACTGTAGTGAGGAGTGTGGGGTTTCCAAGGGAAGGAGTTGGAGAAAGGGTGGTTGGCAACATATGGGGGAGGGTGACAGGAGGAGACTAGGACCTGGTAAACACCTTGGTTTTGCCACCCCATCAGCACAATATGGACGGATTCTCTTGTGATTCCTACCTTTGTGTCTCCAAAACACACACAGACACAGATGCCCACCAGCCACTGCCTCCCACCACACAGCTGGCAGCTGCCAGCATGCCAAGGGCTGGCATCCAGCTTTCACATGTCTGCTGGGTGGACAGGGAGGGACTGGTAGATGCACTGGGCGCTCAGCAGTGCAAAGCCCACAGCCAGGGATGGGCACGGAAAATGCTGATGGTGAAGAAACTGCCCTGAAGAACTAAAGGCCTTTTGTGTGCCATTGTCCAGGGGGCTTTCCTTGGAGCTTTTTGCCTTTTCATGCTGTTGTGCTGGCGCTGAATGGTTCTGCTGCTGCCCACATTCCTTCCCCTCCGCCAGCCACTACCCGGCTTTGTGCTGAACACCCCAGCTCAGCTTTTCTCCACTGCCCCCGGCTGCAAAACCTCTCTCCCCCCCCACCCCCCCCTTTTTGCTCCATGTTTGCACAGCATATGCATGAATGCCAGACCACTGGGGGCATGAGAGAGGGATAGGAGAGATGGCAGTAGGCATGGATGGAGGAAGTGGACATGACGAGAGATACCCTGGCTATTCCCTGGTTATTCCCCCCCCGATTTGACTTGGGTTCTTATGCCCAAAATTCCTTGGCTCCAGCTTTCTTGGCCTGCTCTGGAGCTCAGTCTCCCCAGAGGGACTCCACCAGCTCTCCTGCACCAGAGGAGAGAAAGGTGCCAGGGGGATCCCATCTCCTTTCTTACCTTCACCAAAGTTCTGGTCGTAGATCTTGCTAGGGTTGGCAAACTCGTACTCCGAACTCATGGGGTAGGCGTGGGGGACAGTCCGTGCAGCCATGGTGTGTCTGGGAAGAGGACTTTGCAAGCACTCACTGCCTCTGAGAGTGAAGGCTGCAGATTGCAAGGTTTCAATTGGGCGAATTCCACAGGGAGGAGTGTGTGATAAAAAGATGGACTAAAATAGCCACACGCACAGGCCCCAGGATGCCTCGCCAGGGTGACGAGGGAAGCTTCTCACTGCATTCCAGCAGGGAGTGCAGGCACTGCCTGCAGTCAGGGACGCCTCGGGAAAATCCTGCACCTCCTCCCAGCCTCTGAGATCCCCTCCTCGAGCAGGGGGTGCAGGAGGCAAATGGGCAGCCAGGTGCAGCATGGAGGCACAGAAGTGAGCAGAGGGAGGCTGAGTAGGAGAACGCAGGACAGACCCCAGGATCTGCTGCCTGCGGTGCTCCCAAAGGCAAGGGCCAGCCAGAAGGCTCATTGCAAACAGGTTCAGGGAGTCCTTGACACTGGTCTGGCTGGTCCTGAAGCACGCCGTGGGGACAGGGCAGTTGGTAATGATGCTTGATTGAGTTGTGCAATGTCACGTGAAGTCACTGTTACACCCATCGCACCACTGTGAGCTTGGGGCCCAAATCAGCCCTACGCAAAGGAGCTTGTTTTTCCCAAAAGCTGAGCCGACAGCTCAAGCCTTTTGTTCCTGTGAGTGGTGAAGTGCTGCAGGTAGTTAACCAGGGCTACACAGGATCTGGATCCCAGTACTGGCACTTCCACATCCCTAACTGTGCTGCTGCAAGCTGGCTGTCCAGCCTGTCCCCCGGCACAGTGTAATGAGATCCGGAGATTTCCTTGAGTCCACGTCGCTGTAGTATGAGAGAGCAGGTGCACTACTGTTGATGTAACGGGGAATTAAGGCTGTATTTATGGCCTGAGCTTGCACAGAGCATATGCTGCTCCCTATTCTTGCAAGCAAGCTGAGAGGAGGGTCAGAACCCTCTGCAAGTGTCTGGTGTTGCTACGGTAAGAAAGATGTACCTCTGAGCCGTTTTATTTACTAGCTCTTGTCCTTTAAGGACAGTTGATAGGCTGAACCCTATGAATTCCCATGAGTTTGGTTTGCAGGCAACTCAGGAATTAAAATAAATTTGTGAATGAAGACATTTAAGGAGTATAATTGTAGGAAATCAGCTTACTGCAGGGGAACAGGCAGAGGTAGCTTGCATCCCTGAGAAGGCCTGTTGCAGTGCAGCACCGCGAAAGCCGTCAGCATGCCCAGTTACCTCTGCTCACAGCCCTCTCGAGTATTCTGAGGTCAGAGAGTGATGGGCACTGTGATCAACCAAATGGTTTCTGTGGTGGGCAAAGGATGAGAGGTGTTGGGCTGAAGCACTGTGGAAAAAGGGCATCCTTCACTCACAGCCACACCAATGGGCCTGCACTAAGGCAGCGAGGCTTACCGGGCTGCAGAGAGCTGCACTGCCAGGGGGATCTCGGCAAAGACCTCCTGGGATCTTTCCTGCCCTCTGAAGCGGGCCTGTGGCTCCCATGGCCTTAAGGAGAGGCAGAGGAACTCTCTAGTCTCTTCCTAGACGGGTGGGTGATGTGGGGAGCTGAAGTCTCAGTGCTGGCAGGGGGAACAATGGCCCCTTGTCATTTTCCCTGTGAGTCAAAGATAGGAGCTGCATTGATCCTGCTGGCATCCAAAGCAGCTGGGAACATCCGCCAAGCCGGCCTGGGACTCTGCAGATAAACAGCACGTGGGTACTGGGGCGGGTGGCTGGCAAGTTTGGCTTCTTGCTGCCCCATTAGGCTCCTTTTCTTCTTCTCCCCTTCCCCCTCCTCCTCAGCAGCGTGTTCAAATCCCCGAGACAGCTACTGGGCACCACTGAAGGGCCCAGCCCAGGAGTGGGACAATAAAATCCCTGACACCACTGTTCAAGAGGCCTGGGGGCTGGGGGGGGGAGGGAAAGGCCAGGCCAGCTGCACGGGTATAAAGCTGTGCCCCGCTCCCGGCACAGCACTGCAGCACAGTTGTTTGCCAGGCTCCTCCAGCGCTCTCCAATGGATATCACCATTCATAACCCCCTGATCCGCAGACCCCTCTTATCTTGGTTGGCACCAAGTCGTATCTTTGACCAGATTTTTGGAGAGCACCTGCAGGAGTCAGAGCTGCTCCCTGCTTCCCCCAGCCTCAATCCCTTCCTGATGAGATCCCCCATTCTTCGGATGCCCAGTTGGCTAGAGACAGGACTCTCTGAGGTAATCTTCCCTTCTTAATGCTCTTTATTATCGCTGTGTGCGCATCCTGATGGGTCTGGAGCTGGAGACCCGTGAGATCTGAGAGCTTGGCAGCTGCTTGTAGGTGGTTATCACGAAAAGGCTGGCGAAAAGGGTGCTGTGTTTGCGCCGCTGCTCCTCTGCATTAGGCAAAAACCTCTGCATGCTCTGCTAATGATTCGTGACTGAGAGCAATTATTGCCACCGCGTTGGGAGTAGAGGCAAACTGAGCTGAGTGTGTGTGGGAAATGACTGTAAGAGCTGACGAATGAAAGGAGGAAGCCTAATTTCTCTGCCCGCTCTGCTAAACTTGCAATCCCACTCCCACCTGAGCAGCAAAGAGCACAGGGGTAGTGAGCAGGGGTAGTGGGATCCTCACGACAGGCAGTGTGGGAGGTGGTGGTTGCTGAGGAAAAAGGGGCCTATTTTAAAGAGTCACTGCTGAGGAGAGCAGCATTTTAAGATACAGGACCCAGAGCAGCATTTTAAGATACAGGACCCAGAGGATCATGAAGCAACCATCTGCTTGCTTCAGGGGCTGAGCCAAGAGGCGGGCAGACCGAACAGCCTTGCTTGTTCTGCAAGTCAACTGTCTTCTTCACTAGTAACTTGTAGAGCTTTTCCAAGCCAAAGGACTGAAAGTATATTTTTAATCTTTACATAATGTTTCCCTCGATTTAGTGACCTGGGTCTGGCTGTCCACTGAAGCAGTCATAATGAGCACCACAGATAACGACGTCTGACTATCTCAGTGGAGAAATCTTCACAAATAATTTAGGAGGAAGAAGAAGCACTTAAGACTCCCAGGTCAAACTGTGAAAAGCTGTAAGCCTAGAACAGGCACAGAGGCTGCCTCCGCAACCCAGACCAGAGCTTCAGAAGGCTTGCATGCTCCTTGATGACCAACGTAGCAGGCAGGCAGAGATAGCCAGCTCATACTGCAAAGTCCCACAGATATGCCCAAGACAGGCAGAAAGTGCAAATTCAACCTCAAAACAGCCAAAAGCAGTATTTCTTAGAGGCAATAAAGTGCAAAATGGAAGGGAAGGACGTGAGATTAGCAGCAGGTGACTCAGAGCTGCAGCAGAAGACCTGCTGCTCAGATCACAGCGGGGAGCAGTGAGGCAGTACTGCTGGCAGGTGAGACATTATTTTGGTTACTGAAGAGTGATGGTGCAGGGAGCCTGCAAGCCTGCAGATGAGCTGCGCTCAGCTGCACAGTCGGGGTTTCTTTTGCTTGGAAGACTTTACAAAACCCAGTCACAGAAACTGGAAACCTCCAGACATTCTGTAAAAAGAATTGGATGTAAAAACCTGTACGCCAGCTAAAAAGTCAGCTTTAACGAATTCAGATTAGGAGAATCTCTTCCTCACTCCCAAGGAAAACATTTATCCTGTGTGATCAAGAGAAAGCATCCACATTTTAGATTCATAGTGATGGGCCAGCAAGGGGCAAAGCCACCCAAGTCCGAATTCCAGGACTGAATGAATGTGCCTGTGTAGGTATCAGTTTGAGTCTTGAACTGCTATATTCTGAGAGCTGTTTTAAGCTGAAACCCTCAGCTGCTCTTTCCTGAAGTCACCTCCTTGTTTTGCAGATGCGACTGGAGAAGGACAAGTTTTCTGTAAACCTTGATGTGAAGCATTTCTCCCCTGAGGAGCTAAAAGTGAAGGTGCTTGGGGACATGATCGAAATTCATGGGAAACATGACGAGCGCCAGGTACTTTAACTGTGCAACAGATAGAGTCAGTGTGAACGTCTCATCTATGGTTAAACAAGGAGACTGCAAAACAATCATCTCCTGTGTTCATCAAATACTTCTAATGCTTTTTATCAACCAGTCCTAATGGAAGATGTTCTGTTCAACCCCACCAGCTGATCCCAGACTGGGCAGCAACAGGGTGGAGATTTATTGCTGATATTACATGAACTGTTGGACTGGAAAATCATCTTTGAAATGGGCATTTCTGGGCCCCCCTCTTTCTGGGAAGAGGCCAGGAATGCAGGGAGGCATTCAATAAGGTAACAACAAACTGTAATAATTAAGCCACATAATGAATCAGTGCATTGCCTTGTTCTCTTACTGGAGGGTACCTCATCCTGAAAAATGCCCACCTATCAGTCTGGAATCCTTGAAGGCTCTGTTCTGCTGTCAGTCATCCCACTGCTTGCTGCCCCCGGAGACCTGCGGGGCAACTTGGCAGATAGAAATAAAAAGCCATGTCCAAAGCTGTGTGTAACAGGGTTTGTCAGTCTCCATCTCCCTCCCACCCCCCATCCCCACCTCCCTGACAACAGGGAACGAATCCGTGTGATGAAGTAGCTCTGTCACTGGAATTGTCAGTTCTAAGAGCTTCTGAGAGAACGTCTCTGTCAAGTCAGGAAATACAGCCTTAGTTGTAGCTGGTGGAAGCCTGTAATCCTGACATAGCGTCTGCAAATTCTTTTGGCTAAGAAGATAATCAAGCACTATAGCAGAGATCAGCTCACTATAAGTATCACTAGAGCTCGGGAGACCCTCAGGAACAGGCGTGGTTGGCAGTGCCCGTAGGTCTGGCGGCTGCACCTTAGGATGGACAGCACACCGCTGTGCCATGTCTCTGGCTGGCACAAGAGCTGGAACATCAAGCCTCCTCCTGTTAAGAGTGTACCTGCAGGCACCTGCAGCCTCGGCAGAGCAGCGTCTCACTTTGGGCAGTCTTGGCTCTTTAAAAAGGGCATCTCATAATAAAAACTCTCCTAAATTCTTGAAAAGATTTCCTTTGAGAGCTGGAGCTTCCTGATCTCCGGCTTTATGCGAAAGGCCCCGGGTTTAGGGGGAACTGAGGGAACATTTCTAATCAGGGCTGTTCCTTCTCTTCTCCTTTTGAAGGATGAGCATGGCTTTATTGCCAGGGAGTTCAACAGGAAATACAGGATTCCAGATGATGTGGACCCTCTGACCATAACCTCATCCCTCTCCTTGGATGGTGTCCTGACCGTGAGCGCGCCGAGGAAACAAAGTGACGTCCCTGAGCGCACTATCCCCATCACCCGCGAAGAGAAGCCTGCCATTGCAGGAGCCCAAAGGAAGTAGGCTGCTACGTAAAGTCACCCCGTGGAGCCATTCAAGAGCACTTCCCATCAGATGCCAACCATACTGAATGGCTACTCTTATTATTTATGCTGAGTAAGTTTACTAACAAATAAAACATGAATAAGCAGTTTGTATTTTTTTTTTTGGTTTGAGCGCTGAGGACAGGGGAAGTGTTGGGTCAAGAAAGCTGTGCAAGGTTGCTGTGCAGGGACACATACCTGGCATCATTCTTGCTTAGAGCCTGAGTGGCAGGTGTGTCCAGGACAGCTTGTCCTGATGTTCAGAAAGACATCGATACTTTCGCTTCATGTACTCTAATTTTGCAAACATCTGATTGCACGAGCCTTCTCCTTCAATGTTCCCCGATGATTTCAGAGTGTTTCACAAGCAACAGAAAGTTTCTCCAGTGGAGATTAGACTGGTAAAACAACCCCATGACAATCAAACCCCATTCAAAGTGTGGGTATTAGATAACAACAGAAGACAGCTGTACCTGAAATCTCCAGAATGACTAATGTTAAAGCATCCAAGTGCTGCAACCGAGAGCAGTTGAAGATGACAACTGCATAGCTGCAGTATATATCACAGATATTTCCAGAGAGGAGAAAAATGTCCTGCTCTCATGGTGCAAATCACATCACTCTGAAACTATGTTGTCAGTGCCCTTCCAACAATGAACAGGATCTGACGTCTACAGCATTGATCTGATTTACGCTAACATCGTTGAGTGGTACGAAACACTGCTAAGTCCGGCTCAGGTGTCATCATCTGCTTTACACCTCTTTTCCAAAGGATATGAGCACAAAGGATAGTCTGTATTACCGGAATTGCATTTCCAAAAAGGACAGAATGCCATAGATCAGTCGCACAGATCGTCAGACTCGGTTACGACCTGACCTATTTTCTGTGTTCCTTACACCTGTTAAGGCAACAGTTCTATTAGAAGGGATCAGTTTAAATCTCAGACTGACTGAGAGGGCATCCTTATTCCATGGCTTTAAGTGAGAAAAATAAAGTGAACACTCAGTGATGTGGAGTCACTCTCAAATATCCCAAATCCCACCTACTTGCCAAGGTCTAGTGTTTCCTGTTAGCTGGTTCTAATAAGCTCTTCCAGTCAAGGTGTTAGCTGAGCTTGACGGAAAGGGGCTGGGTGACTGGTGACTTGCAGTCACCTCTGCACACAAAACAAATGAGAAGAGCACACACAGGTTACAAACAATACAATTTAGAAAGCAGAAAGAACGTTTTTCACTTGATGCTATGTCTGGCTTTAATGCGTGACAGGTCTTTTTGCTTAAGTGATACCCTTGTAGCGCTGCTAGCAGCCAAACCTCCCGTTTTTCTGAAGGCATAGTCTGCAGATTCTCTCCATGTCTGCTGCCTTTCCTGCGTCCTTCCCTTTCCTTCTCTGAGTGCTGGACACAAGGCAAAGAAAATGCTGCCATACAGAGGTGGTCTGTACTCTATGACGTAGCAGCACTGAGCAGTTGGGCTGAACGAAGGAGGTTCCAACTCGGGGTGGTGGCCTAGAAACCTGGAGGCTCTTGTTCAAAACCTGAAAGAATAAACACAAAAAAACTTCAGCAAGTGCAAAATCGTAAGAATATATCCAGAAAATGCAAATAAGGGAGAAATTTTCTATAAGCAGGGTTAGGTTAGGCTCAAACTCAGAAGCAAGGAACAGGGAATTTTGAGTGAAAGCTCCTTGGGGATAAATATGATGAGGTTAACTAGACAAGAACACTTGAAATGCAAATACCACGCCCTGAATGACTCGAAATACCTGTTCTGTGGTGGCACAGGAGCACAACTCAACAATGAGAAAAGGACAGAAAACAATTCTGTCATCTCTGCGCACAAATGTCATTCAGGAGCTCCTCTTTAGCTACACTACAGATCCAACAGGCTGCGTTTCAGTTCTCTGCCCGCACTTTTTGTTCTCTGGTTTCTCCCTCATGATCTGAAGAGCGTGTTGTTTCAAAGCAGTGAAAATATCTAAAAGAAAAACTCACGTTTAGTACGGCTAAACACAAGCAAAAAAACTTCACGAATGGCAGGCAGTAGGTCTCTGTTGGAGCTGGCCGTTGCCAATTTTAAGCCTTCCACTGTCGCTACCGACGTGACTCCTGAAACACTGTCCTTGCCCTATGAAGCAGCCGAAGGCACACCAATACAACAGGCGACAGCAGAGCATCGCTATTC